TTTTTTTTTTTTTTTTTTTTGCACATTTTGCACACATCAATCCTGTTTGCTTCTGCCGAGGTGTTTGAGATGAAGCTTAGCTAAATCATCTTACGCTCTTTGCAACTCGTGTGCCGGTTTCTGATGCATTCTTGTATAACTCTCCTCCGCCTCGTGTGTTTTTTGCAAGGTCTTGGGCTGAGGTGTTTTGCTATGAATGTCTGGCTTGACAACTTCCGTAACTTCCGCACATGCATAGCAAGAGGCTTGGAGCGTATCTAAAAATGTTTAAAGACCTGACTCTCAAGGCCTTTGAAGTAGAAAAGTGCCAAGGGCAAACTCTGTGCCGGCAGATCATTGCTTCTTGAAATGGCTGTTCAGGTTCCAACATCGGCTTCGCACTGCAAGCTGACACCTCCAGGACTGCAAGTGCTCATCGTAGAGAACTCCTGGCATTGACCGCTTCTGCGGTGCAAGTTGCCGCGTCTGAAGAATGTGCCTGCAGGGCAGATTGAGTTAAGTCCACCTCGCCACTCATGTGCACTGAGGTTGTAAGGCCCGGTGCTGCTCATGCCCAGGGATTTGACCCGTTCGGGGAGCAGCTGAAGAAGCAGGCCAAGCTACAAAACGTTCACGCAGACTGCCGGACTTTCAAACTTCTTGTTTCAGGCTCCGAAGGATTTGAAGAATCCGCCGCCTGATGTGCAGGTTCTGGAAATGTTGCAAGCCAAACATATCTTTAGCTCAGCTAAGCTGCACACCTGAAGGTCACAGCGAGTGGTCTTAAATACAAGATCCTGAAGCCTGCAGACTGCGAGACACAAAAATGTGCTAAGCCGAAGATCTTCGACAAGGTGTCTGTGGACTTTACAGGCCTTCTTGTTTCGTGTCTTGCGCCGTGCAGCGCTGCTTGCTGGGCGGGGCAGGGCGGGGAAGGGTGGGCGAGGCTATGAGCTTGACGGACGGATCTTCGACTCAAGCAGGAAGCGTGGACGCATTACCTTCCAAGTCAGCCAGGTAATTCGTGGCTGGACAGAAGGTTTGCTGAACATGAACGTTCCTCGGAAGTTTAGTATCTAGTGAATCTAATGGGCAGTTGCTGCAAAGATGCCATAATACATTGGCTGATTGATGCAGAGTGAGGTTGGAGAAAAAGCGAGGCTCTGGATACCCAGCAACCTCGCCTTTGGTTCTGCGGGTAAGGGTGGTCCAGCAGGATTCTTGAGCAATCTAGCCCGACTTTTTGGTGGTGTCACCGTTCTCTGCTCATTGCTAGTCAGCTGAGCCGAGGAGACATAGTGGTTGATGTCACGCTCTATGGGCTGAAGCGTGGGGATCAAGCACCACCACTGCCAGACAATCTCGATGGTCCCCCTCCAGATGCAGAACGCACAAAGAAACTCGATCCGCAGCCAAGGGGTTTTTACTTTTTTTGTTAGCAGGTGTTTGCCACAGGCAGCTTGGTTTCAGGTCTGGCTTGGCCTCCAAGATCATCCGGGCTGGAAACGGAACCGAAATCGCAACAGAAGCCACAAAGGTTACGGCCCCTCGCTCGCATTATCTTACGCTTGTGGTGCCTCCTCCCGTAAAGCTTTGCATAGAATGTGTGTGGCTGAGATACAACTGGGATTCCAGCTCAGGTGGAGTATTACGGTTGGACCACGGACGGCCTGCTGTTTGATTCTTCTGTTCTGCGCGGACGAAGTGCTGAGCTTCAACAGAAGAATGTTCCAAAAGGCGTTTGGGAAGGTGCTGCTTACCTAAATACCCCCTCATTCTTCACAAGCACTCTGGTAATCATGTGCATTGCGAAGAATGTTGCTCCTGTGGTGCAATCCCAATCTTTGCTGCGAGGCATCCAGCTTATGCAGACTGGGGAGACGCGCCGACTTTGGGTTCCACCTGCTTTGGGGTATGGCAGCCAGCGCGATGATGGGGGTCCCTGCGGTATGCTGATCTTCGACATCTTTTTGGAGTCGTTTGAGAAGGGCGGCCTTTTCCGGTAAACCAGTCGCGAGGCGTTACGGTGAATGCCACCAGGATGCAAAGACAAATTTCCTCCCGCGCCTGCGGCGAACAGTGTTCAGCGGAAAAGTCCTGGTTCGCTCTGAGCCAGCAGGCTGCAAAAGGTAGCTGAGACAGCAAGCTTGAGGCCACGGCCCGATGATTGTCGTCATGAGCTGTCGTTTTTGTTTGCAGGTTCTGGGTGACATGGATGCGGAATCCTTCTTGCAGGCAGCTAGGCCTCTGCCGCATCTACTGCTCCACGATGCTGCAGCAGGCATTTGACAACGTCAAACTGTCCTCTATGGCGGAGCTGGTGCAGAACCCTCATTGTGCTGATGGCGCTCCAGGTTCTTTTGTTTTGGGGTGGGCAGGGACGCGGCCAACACATGTGCAAAACACTTTGTGTCAAACTGGGTTGGATGGTTGATCTGTAAGATTTGCCAATTATGTCAGCTTGCACGTGCAGAGCACGTGCAGATTCCACCAATCAGGCTTGGCACGAACAATATCGTTTTTCCAGTGAGTTTTTTCAGTTCCCTGAGTTGTGAAGAAGTTGTGCTCTGGAGATGTGCGGGTATTGCCTACTAATCCTGAGGCCGTTGCTGATTTCCGCTGGAGTTCTTCGCGGCAGGGGCCAGCACCAGACGGAGGAAGAGGCTCTTGGTGTTATGGTGTAACATGCCTTCAGAAGCAGGAAAGCTTCCCTGTGTCGAGGTCGCTGCTGCTGGAGAGTCAGCACTGAGATGGTTGGCACGAGCTGGCCGGCTCGATCCCTGTTTGCGTGTTTGCAGTGCTCGCAATCTCTCGGCCAGGTGGTGCCTTTCTTGTCAGCACTGCTGTGTATCCAATTCCAGCCAGGCGGGTCAAAGTGTCATAAAGACCGCTACTGGTCGCTGCAGTTTTGCAGAGTCTGGCAGGTCCTTCCTCAAAGTGATGGAGCAGGCACTAGGTAGAAAGTTGTGGCCAAGAGGACGACCTGAAACTTGAAGTTGGCAAAAGGTGAACAGTTGTGGTCTGGGCCGGCTGCGTCAGCCAAGCCTGACCAAGGCCAGGCGGTCAGCATCGAGCAAAGGCTCATGAGAAGTCGACAACCGCTTGATCCTGAGGTCGGCAACTGGCTGACTCACTTGACACGACGCCTGGGTTCCTTGGAGGAGCGCTACCTGAAAACTCGGAGAGGGATGGGAAGACTTGTAAAGCAAAAGGACTTTGTGGACATGGTCGGGAAGACTGACATAATAAGTGTCGTTGCGCCCCCAGAAAACACTGCTGCTTTGTTGCTCGGGGAGGTAGCGGTCTCATCTGGCCTGCCAGGTCTCCTGCTTGAACTTGACACGCTCGGCAGTTCCTTCAGAGCATGGTGGCTAACTCAGGTTGCGATTGGATGCTTTTTGCTTATCTGTTTGAGTGTATACTTCTGCGAGTTTCTGCGCACAGGCGAGGACTTCGAGGACACGATCACTCCTATCGTTTCATCAGCTGCTCAAGCCTTCAAAACAGGCCTCACCCTGTCTTCTTTAAGCTTGCCTTCTCTGGTGTCATTGTGCAGGATCGAGTATTGGTGGATCTGAAGAACCACTCGTGCGCGTTTTCCCGGGGCCAACCACGCAGTCCTGCCTATTTGCCGCCTGTGAAGCTTTCAGCCCCGGTCCGAATTCCGCCTTGAGCCAGGTCGGAACAGGCAGCCCCTGTTCACAACATGCTTCAGGCGGCAAGAGCCTACACTTGCAGAGCTTTTGGTGAAGTGATGGCAGGACATCCTCCAAATTGCCAGAGCCACGGGGATGGAAGGCATCTTTCGATTGTTGAGTCTCTTCCACAAGGCGCCCTTGAACCAGTTGTGAAAGCAGGGTTTTCAAGGATGAAACGCTGTCAAGGCGGAGAGCCTGGAGCGTTTGGAGCGCGGCGTGGACTTGCTGGGCGCCGCCAGGCCTCGGCCTGCAGCCTTAACCACAAAACTCCGATTCTGTTTTTATTCTTCTTCCTTGACAGGCTTCTCAAGACTGCTCCGGAGGCCCAAATCAGTCACTCTAGAGCTGTGGAAACAGGTGTCGGGTCGGGATTGAATACCATGAGTCAGCTCCCCTTGGTACAGGAAGCATGTCTGAGTCTGATCGATTAATTCTGGTTGTTGCGGATGATAAAGGTTTTCAGAAGGTGTTGCCAACAGTCACTGTTCGGTTGAGCAAAGTCTGCCATTCCAGCACGGCTTTTGCTCGTCTTTGCTGCTAAACCCCCCTCTGGTCAAGACAGTCGTGTTTTCACAGCGTCAAGGTTCAGGACGTCATCACATAAATTCGTTTGCAGCGCAACATTCTGGAAGCAGGTGTTCAGCATAGCTTTGGGTGCCTGCCTGCACACCCTGTTTGACGTTGCTTGGGCTCATGAGTGGACCAGCATGAAGCTCGTGTGCATTCAGAGGGCAGGTCCCGCAAATTGCCATGAGCATGTGCATTTACGCACCCAAACAGGGACAGGCTTGGAACTTCTGCGTTCTTTTTGGGCCGTTGTTAGACAGAACATGACGTCCACAGGCGCCGCCTTCACAGGGTCAAGGCTCAGACATTCCTGGTGAAGACTTTGAGAAGGGAGACCGACCAGAAGGCAGGCGGAGCACCAGAAGAAACCTGAAAAACCGATAGTTTTTGCAGGCGGCACCACCTTGGCAAGCAGGGCAGGCCCAGACCTGGCGGACTTCGAGTTCAAGCCTTGCAATCGCTTGCTACGACTTGCTATTGCCTCTATTACGCTCACGGTCTGCCGAGGTCCTGGACAAGGTTGATTATGCTGGCCTAGCACCCAGCCTTTATGCGTATTGGACACGAGCCTCATTGTCATTTGCCCTCACATGACAAGTCCCAAAACCTGAAGGTCAACAGCTTTGGCGGTCCAGACAATGTTTGTCAACGTGTGGAGGCTCGTCGCGCCTGGTCGGGCACCATTATGAAGCCTTGTCGAGCTTCCCTCGAATGACCTCTCATCCTTTGTGATTCCGGCAGCTTTTTGGGGCCAATCTGCAGCATGAAGGCCACTAACATCAAGCTCTTCGAGGAGTGCCACCGGCTCAGACGCGTCATGGAGCGAGCTGGCCTGCATGGTGAAGACTCTTGTGGAACCCTCGTTGGCCGGGCAATCTTTTATACAACCAAGAAAGTGGTACAGTTCTTGTAGCTGCCAGCCTCCAAAGGTAAATAGATTCGCCTCTTGATAGAGCAGTCCCACTCGCTGACAAATCCGTCCAATTGTCAGTTAATATCTGTGAAGAAAAGCTTGTGGGGGCCTTGAACGGTGCTTTCGATGGATCTTGTACGTGCTGTAATCAAACAAGCAGGAGGCTCAAAGTCTTACATGTTTGCGTGAGCCATGGCTGCGTAGGTGCAAGCTCCAAGTTGTTTCAGGAAGAGCTGGCATGCTAAGCAATTTACCATGAGCCGAGTTACATGCAGACAGACAGTTTTGCTGCAGCTAATCATTCCTTCTGAATGTAGAGGTTAGGGTAGTGGTAGACGCAGGCAAAGGCACAGGCAAGCTGGAGTCAACAGAGCGTCCTGGCATGCCAGACGAGGTCTTGATGTTCTTCATGAAGCAGGGCTCACGCAAAAGTCCAGCCCCAACCAACATGCCTGCAGCAGATGCAAGTTATTATAGTCTCAGCAAGCCAACCTTTGTCTTTCTAAGAGGTCCTTCAAGCTGGATGATCGCCAAATGCTCAGCTTAAAGCTGGTTCATGTTCTTCGTCTAGGTTGCATCCACGTGCAGGTGGGCCATCTGCAGCTCAGATTGAATCTTGGAGGAAGGCTATCGCAGGGCATTCGTTGTGCATTTCTCTTCTAGTCAACAGAGTCTTTGTAAGCCTTGCTCAAGCTCCTGCATCGCGGGATGCAGTTTCTTTTCCGTCCGCCCGCTCCAGATCCGTGTCCCATGGACCGTCCAATTAATACCTGAAATCTTGAAACTTCCTGGACCTCTGAGTCATAAGCCCTGAGCGTAGAAACCTATCCCCTGACACCCTAAGCGCCGTGAAACATGGATGCTTATCAGTCAGTAGCGCACCCAAATTAAACGACCGGATCCCCATGCGTGGATTTTGCATGCTCTTAGTATTGTAGAGAGACGACTCAAGAAATAAGGTCAGCAGAACCAAGAACAAGAGAAGCTTAAGGAAGGAACGGAAGAAGAAAACATAGCAAATAAGTATGTGAGACATGTAGCTACAGAAAACAGGTCACGGCAGATGGAATCGGAGTCGGAACCCGCAACACGGTTATCGAGAAGCCAGAATTCGGTCACGTGAAATGTGCAATGTTGTGGGCGGCTCAGAATTCGGATCCAGCGAGATTTGCGACGTTTTCGATCAGCTGGAATTTTGTCCGCACAATATCTCGTTCGGTGTTTGATACCCCGGAGAATTCGCATTCCGCAACATTTGCAAGGTTTCCTCTCAGCAGGAATTTCTATCCGGCGACAAAACTTTTGAGACCCTGCTTTTCATTGCAGAATCACTTGAGAGCAAAAACGGTCGCAAACAACACTGAGAGGCAACTCCAGGGCCGCAGCAGGTAGGTTTTCGAGCAGCCGGAATGCCAGGCGAGGGTTTCGAGACCCCAGAATTCCAGCCCCATGCCATTTGCGAGGTTTGCTGGGCCCCATATTTCCATTTCCACGAAATCTACGCGGTTTTTGAGCAGCCGGAATTCCATTCCCAAGGTTTTGCGAGAGTTTTTTGAGCAGCAGGAATTCCATTTCCATGCACTTTTTTGAAGTTTCTGACCCCTTCCAGCCCTGCATAACTTGCAAGGACCCTGGAAGTCCGGCCCCACGTGACATTTCTGAGGTTTTTGAATGTCCAGCCACGTCCAGCCCTACGATACATGGAGCTTTTCAAGCCGGGGAAATCTGCGAGGTTTCTGAGCAGCTGGAATTCTGGTTTTGGGGAAGGATTCCTGGGAGCTGGCTGTACGTCCGGAAACGTAATCTTTCATGTATTAACCTTGTACCACAAAACGGCGACTGGGTCTCCAGTACTGCAGTCCTACTACAAAACGACTATTTTCGAGTAGTTTTACGGTATAGAGGGGAGCGTGGGTCAAGGTAGGTCGGCAGAGTACTACAGTGGTACTACGGCACAGGAATCGTGGAGGCGGTTCCCGAGAGTGCGAGCGGTACAATTTTCAGCAGAGCATCGCAGCGTGGTGTCCCACGCAGACGTGGGCCCTCGGCGTACTACGGCTGAGAGCGCGGGGGGGGGTTGTGAGAATATGCGGAACAACAAATTGTCCGAGACCTTATGGTCTTACAGGTGAAGTCCCAAAGACCCGGAAGCCTAGCCCTCCTAAGTCGGAACGCCCAGCTCTGCAACTCGAAGCCCTAAATGAGTAGTATTTTATTCGGGGATACTTTGGTACCCAATGTAGCGTAAGAATATATCCTCCAATTTTACTGAGTTTATCACACACTTCCCTTGCTGTGCATGCACGGCGCGAGCAGTGCAGCACACAGCGTCCATGGTCTGTCCAGTCGAAAGGCCACAGTTGGACCCAGCTCAAAAGGCTGGGCTAAAGTCAGCGGCCCTCCTAAATGGACGGGAGGCCGCAAGTAACCGAAGATCAGTTCGAGCTCCTTGAAGAACATCAAACGCAATACCCAAATGCAAACCATCGCAAGGCCCAGTAACCCCCAGATGAGAGATATCAATCCCGGAAGTGAACAGATCCTCCCTACCGAGCCCTTTGATGACATCTGTACATGACTTTCTCAAGAAGTCCAAACAACCTGACAACGTGGGGCGTGGTCCATGGAAATTGTCTCCGACAGGTTCCCAGGAGCTGCGGGCACGATGCCAGAAGGAGCGCCCTTGACTTTTGAAAATGAACGCAAGTTCTACCCATGAAACAGCGGTGCACATCGGACTCCCTTCATCCAGTTTAAAGAGGATCTCAGCAATGTTCTCCAGACAAGATTGTGGAAAAGTACTGCTGCGTGCCTCGAGCGCAATGCGCCAAGTAGGATGAAGCGCATCCGAAAGCGTGCAGTCTCGTTCCCGCCAGATTACAGGAGCTTCGACATCATCTGGAATTGGATCCGTGGGTGGGCTGGTTCCGGTTTCTTCAGCGATTCGGAGATATACGCTCCGGATGTCGCGAATCTCCTGTGCGCGACTCGAAAATGTCCCAGCGCTGCATTGTGAAGCGAAACGAACTGTTGGGACCGGCTGCGGTTGGTCAAGTCAGCCTGTGTATCAGCCCAGTTGTTCCCTTTCGCCACCCATGCCTCGAAGTCATCTTCGCATAGAGCAAAATCTAGGTGGGATGGAACGTGCTGACAGTTAAACCGGCCATGTCCCAGCTGAAGAGCAACCTCATGCACGGTCTCCCACAGGTCCAGGTTGTCCCAGTTCTCAGGAATCGCACCGCCAGAAAGGAGCATGTTGACCCCACCTACCACATAGGAACTGTCGCTCCACAATGCCAGACATACCCTGTTCAAAAGCGCCAGCTCGTAGCTCGGCCCGTGGCACAGTCTGGGCCAACCCAGAGAGGGGCCCTCTTCCACCCAAATGCGCCAGGACAGGACACTGCCTCTGGTCGCGCTGTGCCACTGCTGACGGTGCAGACTTGTGACAACAAAAACTGGCAGGAATCGCATGATTCATGGTTGGCATCACTGATGTGTTGTGCTGCAGCCAGCACGGGCACGAGCCGCGCATGGGCTCGGAGAAAATGCTCGGACGTAGCTATTTAGCTATGCGCTCAAGCCGCCAAGCCACCATCACATGTCGTAGTGCAACCCGTTCATAAGTTCATGCGTACATGAGTGTCAGTGTGAGTGTCCACCATTGTCATTTCGCGTCTGCGTGGTAGGGGCATAGTTGGTTAGTTGTCAGACTTTCGCTGGAGACACGCTCGTACACATGCAGGGTCATGCTCAGTGCTCGCACTCATGCATGGCAAACTGGCGCTAGGGGCTCTGTACGGGGTAGCAGTCCGCGTGTCAGTCATGTCAGCGCTCTAGGTTCCCACGCCTAGACTAGACTCACTAGACGACCTAGACTTGGACGTTCAGGCGTTCAGTGCTACATTATTGTTGTGTTATATTCTTTGCACGTGCTCACTTGCTTCAGGGCCAGGGCTTTGCGTGGCTTGTGTAGCGACCGCGGCAGTGCCAGTGAGTTCGGCGGCTGGGTGCCATGTCCGCCAATGCAGATGAGCAGGAGACTCAGGAGCGTGGCCTTATGGTCAAGGAGAGGTGGGCGAATCTCTTCGTTCAGGGAGAAAAGACGATGGAGATCCGCTCGTTCAATTGCCGCGTGATCAAGCCGGGGGCTTTGGTGTGGGTCGTGATGACGGGCGAGGGAAAAAACTCGCGCGGCGTGACCACCATGAAGATTGTTGCCCAGATGCGCTTCGTCCGCAATGTCTCCATCCGCATGGACGAGTTCTCCACGTACTTTGACAAGCATCAACTCACCAAGGACGATCTTGACGCGTTGATGAAGGGCAGCAAGAGGGGCAGTCCCGATGATGCCGACTTCACAGTGATTGGGTGGGAGTTTGAGGATGTCACTCCCTTGGAGCGACCACGCTGGATCCGGTGGCGGAATGAGACCGGGCTG